TATGAGCTTTTTCTTAAAGTAAACCTCCAGAAAGCCCTATTGTGGCAGACAGATTAAGGAAGTTTCCTTTTCTGTACATAATTAACATGGGAATAATATATGGGTAGTTTCATCTGGGCTAAGAAGAACCAACTTTTGAACTCCTAGAAAGTAAATGACAGTCATTGCTAAGCAAGAAGCTACACAAAGTTGCCCAAAGAATTCTTTTCCCATGCTATTGTATCTTTTTTAGGATAAAAGAATCAGTAGTAAATCACTCAATAAAAAAATCACCACGTTAAAGTTCACCAACATGTGATGTATATTTAAATTGAGCCTGGGACTGAAAAATGTGAGGCTATATTTAACAAAGATGAATGTTTTGTTTCATACTTTAATTAAAAACCTTTGCAAAACCACAAATTACCACAATACCTGATTTCTATTCTCTTTGCTTAAACAGGCTTGTTAACTAACCTGTTTGTAAAGGATAAGAAACAGTTTTCTCAGTGTCATTTTTATTCTCAGTTTGAAAGACAAAGCAGAATAACAAAGATTTTCCTCCGATTTTGTTTATGTTTTGGCTTATGAATTTTTCAATGTTATAAAAGCAGTGGATATGTTTTGGTACTACTGATGAATCTCACCCATTCCCTCACATTCCCAGCTGCCCACACTGAAGCACACAAACACCTCACTTCTATAGCGGAAAAAAAAACCAGACTGTAATTCTTCTGGCATCATAGGAATACATGTTCAGAAGCAAACCCAAGCATTAGACACTATCCTTCCTGAGGTATAAGATGATCTGAAAGGAAATAGACCTCAAGCCACAGTAAAAATTCTCCTGACACAAGAGTCAGCACCTTCCCAGACACTTTTTTCATGGGAATTGGTACTGAGTAGTAGAAGATGCAAACAGCACTGACCTTGACTTTTATGCAATGCTGCGGCACTCATGTTTTCAGACTGTCCAGGTGCTTTTAGCCCACACCAACTCTTTGGTACAGTGGGGCTCTCTGGTCCCCATCCTTAGAGCATCTCTCCATCCAAATGAAAAATTAGAGAGAAGTAAGGGATACCCTTTCCCCCCTTCCCCCCAAAATGATGGAAAAGTACAGTGGTTCTGGTTTTGGTTTCTTTCACACAGATAGATACAAAAGTTATTGCAAGAGCGATAAGGACATTTAGACACAGTGCTAGGATGACATTTTTCTGTTTATTGCTCCACTCTATTTCCTTTGATTTCATCAGGGAAAAATGCTGTGTTTTAAACATCTTCCTTATAAAACTTAATCTAACCCAAGTTCACAATACACTGGTCCAAAATCAATTTCAAAGTTTTGCTAATTTTGTCCAACTTTATCCTGGATAATTTAAGCTGGAAACGAGAAATGAAATTCAATAACCAGAGATTTTTTTTTTTATTATTTGAAGTTGAAAGAAGAATTTTGCACTTTCCAGAGCTCTGTAGGTCTACTCTTAAAATATAATGGTGTATGCCCCCGCCATCCCAGGACAAGAACCCCTAGCTGACAATCCCATTCCTCTCAGTGACAGCTCCCCTTGGATCTAACTAGAATAGGTGCTTAAAATCCATGTGAAACCATTATAAATTCCTTTCCAAGCAAAAGATATTAAATGTTGCCCATCATCATGCTGTCCAAATTATTATTAATTATTTCTATGTAAATACATAAATGTTATTAATGACAGCTACTTTTTCATTTCAGTAAGCTTTAACTAGTGACTTTCTGTGTGTTTATACTTCTTGTATATTGCTCTCACAGATATATATGCAGATATACTGCTATGACAGAGGAGCTGAAGGCTTGATCATACAACTATATAGCCACTAACTTAAATTTCTGAAGTAATTGGTTAACAAAGGTTTCTCACTCTTAGTTCTCAAAGTTTGGGCCCACTGATCCATATATAATTATTTTTATTAATTATTTTGCCAAATGTGTGAAAGTGAAAAGCACTCCCCTTGACACAAGCACAACATAAAATTTGAAAGCACAAAACCCTTGCCTACCAAACCCAAGGCAGCTGCTTGCGGGATCATTGGCCACAGACATCCTACAGACTCTTCTCTTGCTGCACCTTCACTTTACTGCTTGCCACCACAAGCACCCTCAAAATATTTTATTTCTCACTGAAATGGCATTTCCATAGTACTTGAAAGGTCTGGGAAGCTCTCAACTATCCGAAAAGACAGAACTGTCACAGTCCTGAGTACTTCATAATCTAGTGTTCAAGGAAATCTTGTAGAAACACAAACATGTTGGATTAAAATATTTTCCTACTTGTTTCTTTATAAACCAGGAGAATAAATTCTCTATTACCTAACAGAATTGCACAGATAGAACTGAAGGAGGAATCCAGCCTATGTTGTCTTGTACATTTTTCTTATGGCCGTATCACTAGCCCAGTTAAAACTTTGTTTGATGGCTGATGTGTATCTCTAGTTGATTTAGCATAATTTTGGGGTTTCAATAATATGGAGATGCCTAATCCCAAGAGCCATTAAGCATATAAATATTTTTAGCTCTAGGTTTGATATATGTCTTTTGGCTGATTAGTTTTCAAAATATGTATTTGTACTTGTGCCAAATAGTCTGCCATTTCCATACAAGCCTCCAGTTTGTGCACCAGCACTTTATAAATCTCCAAATAAAATCTTCCATGTTTATTTTTCTTAGAGAGAAAATCCCATTTAACAAGTCTGGGCCTCCTTTCTTTATATGCATTTTTCTATTGAGATGGTATCTGTATTCTTTGTAAGTAATTTTGGTGTTTGAGGTATTTTATCATGCAAAGAGAGGAAATAAAAATAATACTAAAAATATATTGCATTTCTACTATGGGTTTTATCTACACATAGCTTAAAGTACATAACCATCATTTTTTTGTCTGATGGTACTGGAGAAAGACTAGTGTTATGAGGCTAGGAAGGGGAGAAAAGAGACTTTCCTGGAGTTGCAGCCAATATTTTGTCAGCACCTGATCTGAAGGACACCCACTCCCTTTCTAATAGTGTTTGGTGCCTTCCACTATGTGTGCTTCTTTGAGAGTTTAATTCCTTGAAATAAACTGTGAACAATGTCCTTAAAGTGTGTCAGGAGATATTTTATAACATATATATAGATTTTTTTTCTCTCAATTTTATATATGCATTTTGGCTGATTCATTTTCAAAATATCTATTTGCAGTTGTGCCAAATGTAAATTTGTATTTATAAGAAGGTTACTCACCTTCTGGTGCAGGAAGGAGAATATAAAGCCAAGGTAGGAAGGGAAAAGAACGGCACTGGCAGCAGCATCCCTGGTGATCCAGAAGCCAGGCATCAGCCTGGCATTCAGTCAGTGCTCCACAGACCTGGGATATGAGATCCATCATGGCCTTGATCCTAGTTTTTCAGGCCCTATGCCTTTCCTGAATACCCCAATAATCACAGAGCTCTGGTTATTCCATTCATCCCAGTCCTCACTGGCAGCACCATAGTATATAGTCTTGATGCCATGGGCAGTGATGCCTCCAGAGGTAGCTCAGAGCCTTCTCCTTCCTTTCTAACATATGTACATGGCTGCATGGAGGCTTCCAGAGGGCCTCCATGCTGCCATGGAAGCAACCACGATTTTATCCTAGGCAAACTTGCTTTAAAATATTTAATCCAGGATATCTTAACAGTGTAGCAAGAGCAGGCTTAGAGGCTCTTTATGTTCAAATATTTATGCTTCCTGGGTGAGTCTGGCAAGAAGTGCTGCCAAGTGTACTGTTATCAGTGTCCTATACTGGCTAATTTAAAATTAACTTGGGCACTGCCTACATGAGTCGCGGCAACATATTTGACCGAAACCATCATGTCCCTCCAGGCAGGATACTGTGTTCAGGGAGAAGGTGAAGGTGAGATGAATAATTTTTAAAACCTGAGCTACTTCACCAGCTGGAGAGACCGACAGTGTAATTTAGGCAGCTGTATAGCAGCACTAGAGAGAGCACCCTCTCAAAAGAGGGATGTGAAAGAGGAGCCCAACAAACATTTTGTAGAGTACCTATGCTTGGGATGCCACTGGCAGCTGTGACAAAGGTGAATGGAGGCTGGTGTTTCACACGTGTTCACAAGGTGCTCAGAGAGCTGTGGCCCATAGAGTAAAATTAGGGACATCCCTCCTATGATTTCATAGGCATGACAACAGTTTTCAGGAATTGGCATTTATCAGAAACATTTCTTTGAAAAAAAAAACCAAACACTGAAGAAGTGGGAAAGGAAAATAAAGTGATGTGTGAACTTTCTCACTTTGTCTACAGAGTTTTCTCTGGGTGTTACTCCAGAATTGGACCCCAATATTTTTGCTTGATTATTTATTTTTGAATTAAAACTACCATATTAGTGTATAAAGATCAAGGTAAATCATAAAAAGATATCAAGCATCTCGGTCTGTATTTATTTATGGGATTGTTCCAGATGAACATAGACAATTATAAAAATAATTCACTCATTTCCCAGTGCCTTTCTAGTAACGTACACAGCCATATCAGGGAGAATCTAGCTAAAACGCTTAATCTGGCTTCAGAAGAGAGCAAGTTTGGTTCCCTGCTACAGAAATGGTCCGGCACATAGGAAATCACAGCTTCTGCTCCTTGATGATTTAAACCTAGCAGAGCCCACTTGGTTTCTGAATGTCTCCTCTGAGACTCCCTGCTCTGCCAAACTATGTTTTGTGTTTGAGTAGTGCTCTCCACTCATCTGGCTGTATAACCAACAAATAGTTTCACTTAGACAAGACTATTTCAGGAGCAGGATGAGTATTAAGAAATTTGCTGTTAAAAGGAAACAAGAAAAAAAACGCAAACAAGAAGTTTTCTGGGCAGTCACTCAGTGCCGTACAGGATTATCTCAGGTTTCCAGTTTCCTAGGAACGTAGTAACTTCCCCGTGGGTTGTTTTGTGGGCGGTGTTTTTGAATATATGCTAATTCAGCCTTCCTGACAGGGAGAGGAGCCGTGTCTCAGTTACACGGCTCTCCTGACAGCCGACAGTGGCGAGCGGCTGCTGCAGAGTCAGGCTGGTGGTCCTGGCAGGTTCGCTCGCCCTTCCGTCGGGGCCCGTCAGCACAGCCCTGTCGCTTCTGTCACCAGCACCGGGGCCGACATGTGCCTATGACCATGGAGATGAAGGACTCGGGCAGCGTAGTCCTCACAGCGTACCATCCCCACAGCCCGGCCAGGATACCGGGCATGGAGCAGAGCTTTCTACAGGATATCCCTCCCAGCCATTCACCCGCCAGCAGGTAAAGCCTGAGGGATGGGGACCGGTGCCGTGTCCTGATGTTGTGCCAGTGTTGGACGTGAGGTTTGCTGGCTGTATGACAGCCTGAGAGCATTTGCCGACCACTCGGCCACTTCACGAGCACTTTGCTGGCGCACATTTCTCGCCTCCACCGGGGAAGTGATTCAGGCCAGGGCTGCGGGTCAGGGTTGGGAGGGGGGAAACGCGAGTGCTTATTTTAAATCCTGTGAGTCAACAGATCACACCAGTTTCCTGCCCAGGATACTCAACAAGACAATCCCCAGGAAAAAAAGGCACGTGAATCAGGCTTCTGCTCAGTCGTTTAGCACTGTGTTACTGAAAGTGAGATGGCTGGACTGGCTGAGCTTGGCGCTCAGAAAGTTGATTCTGGCTTTGGTTTAGAGGATTATTTAATTCCTTCTCCATTCACCAACCAGGTCAGGACCAGTCTCTGCTTTTTTTCTTTTCTTTTTTTTTTTTTTTTTTTTTTTTTTTGGTGAAATTGCAGTTACTGCTTTGCACACCCACATGCACACAGTGGGAGACTGCATATTAAAAACTTAGTCTAAATTAAGAAAATTCCTTTGTGTTGCAGGAAACGAAGTATTGTCTTAATTAATGCAGTCATGTATATGTTTACCTCCCTGCCCTGTAAGAATGTCTGTATTTGTGCAGTTCAAAAACTAACAATCTGGGCAATCTTATTGTTTTAGAAAATCCGATCTTTCTCTCCATGTATGTCTGAGGTTTGCAATTTTCTCCAAAGTGGTATAAAAGTTCATACTGTAAAAAGTTGAAGAAAGTAGGACATGCTACTTTGTGGCTTGACTGAAAAAATAAAAACTAAAGTCTGAGGAAACAGCAGATGGCATTATACCCAGGAATTAAGTCTGTGTCTTCTCTTAGTATAAATGATGAAATTTACTTCATATTGTTTATTTATAGCCCAATAGCTGTTTTGTTTTCAGTGTCATTATTTAGATTAGCTGCATTTTCCTGTTCTTTGTGTGTTTCCCTGGCTGTCTCATAAAGATAACTCCTTTGTTCTGTTAAACTTGTTTGAGAGCAGTACCAAAATACGCAATTTCATATTAAGAAAAGAAACAGTCTGAGTTTTTAGAGGCAATAAGAATGGCATTTGCTACTCAAAACTGAGAGCAGTGGTTTGGCACTGGGTTACTGGAGAGCATGCAATTTCTTGCACTAGGAAGAGCACTAAACTCAATCTCTCTTTAAGTTTGTGAGCAACAGAAATGTGGTGATTTGCTGTTTTTCTTGTAGGTGTGCTAATTGTTTTAATATGTTCCTGCAGCTTAAGGGCAGGGTGTATGAGGGTTTAAATCACATACATAAATCACATACGTATCACCTACAAAAAACAGAAGTGCATATTACAGTTCCTGAAAGAAAAAACAAAAGAGGATCCTGGCATTTTGATGGGGAACGTGTTTTGGAAGCTCCTGCCATGAGGAAAAGCCCTATGTCTCTCTATACATCTATATATCCATACGATTTTGGTGCTGTCTCCCCCTTCTTGTCCTCAACTCCCTGCAGCTGTCTAATAGCAACAGCCCAATTCTGCCATATGGGCAGTCAATGGCCGTGTGAGTTTCCAAAGCCTGTTCAAGAGACGGATTTTATTAACACAGCATGCAGTCCTCTGGAATGCAGAACCCATGAAGGCAAATGCACTGAGTGTTTTAGCAAATGGTAAAATAGGCTCTGGCTTAATCCCTACTTCATCTTCTAAGAACTCTTTCCTGGACTGCATTTTCTGTATAGTTTCCTCTGCCGCCATCCTAATGCAAGAAGTTTTATTATAGATTCTGTATGGTGTTCCTTGATCCCAGGGGCAGCTACCAGCACTATGGCATGCTAACTCCTTAGCTCTCCAGGAAAATGATTCAAAAAATCATGAAAAGAACAGAGGTGTCACCTGTTTTTTGTTTGATAACAAAAGCAGTTGGGACTCGTAGCCTGACTGTCCTCTGAAGTCAGCTAGGTTAAGTTAGATGTACTCTAACGAAGTCCATACTTGAGATATATATCTGTGAGAACAGAATGAGTCTTGGATATTAGCCTTTGATTTGTTAAACTGCTGACAAGTTCTCTCTCAACTTAGGAATCAAGATACTTCATTTTCCTCCTCTCCTCCTGACATTTCTCTTACTTTAGAGTAATGCACCATTTATATCAGAAGAACAGCTCCACTCACCAGAGCCAGGCTTGGATGTGTCCTCCAACTGTTTTCTCTTCCAAAAACTTTCACTTTGGGAACATACTAAGTAGAGGTTTATCACAGAAAGGGGAACCTAATGCAGCCTTAGTTGGTGTTTAACTGCACTGCTTCCCACCATTGAAAAAGAGACTGATAAAAAAGAAGGAAAGACTTAAGTAACCATCATGAGCTGCAAAACAAATGAGTAATCTTAAACACTCTTTGAAACCCAACACAAAGCTAAGAAGCGCATGGACACCAAAGCTTACACCAGCAGATGCATCAGACCACTTGTATTCACATCCCTCTGTAACTCTTGAAGGGCCAACCAGGCAGGCTGTGTGCATGTCTAAAACACACAGGCAGCATCAGGATCAGCATGAATTATAGCAGATGCAAGTATTTTCATTCATAAGGCCAGTGGGTATATACCCCATTATAAGTTAGGGGGTATTAGCTGCTGGGCTGTAAGGGGAACGGGAAAAGATTTGCTTTAGTTACTTTGAATGGAAGGTGCATCAGTGCACGAGGAAGGATAGAGAATTCATAGGAGTAATGAAAGGGAAAGCTGGATGAAAGTTTGACTGCATAGTGATGCCATCACCAATCTGCAAAGGAGAAATCTAGCTTCCAAATGTAATGTTGGATAACATCAATAAAAAGGTTAAGAAGAGGGACTACAAATTCCAGCCATTTCCAGAACAAGAGTTCATCCAGGGGACTAAAGGTAGCAGTACTTAAACATCTTTGCCTCAGCTATCCATATTGTTCAATTATATCTTTCTCCTTTTTTGCATCTTCCAGACTTACTTAACCAGTTCTATACACGCGGTGAGCCCTGAAAACTGCTCTGTTGAATTTCCTAGAGGTCCAGGAGAATTCTCCACCAAAACTTCCCTTTAATTCTGCTAGTGTAACTAGCAAATTCATTTTCCATTTTTCTCATGTAATATTAAGGTCCCTTTCCTTTGCTTGCTATCTGCTTAGCATGATTGTAGTTGTTGATAGCATTTATTTTGGCCATACATTTTTTTTTTTAATTTATTGCTTGTAAGAACAAGGTGTTGGGGAGATCTCTGGTTTTTTTGCTTGGCAGTCAGGCTAACTCTATAGCATATGAGTATAGTGGGAAAGATTGCTGTTCTTGTGGGACACTCATTATTCTTTTTTAATTCCACTTATTAGAACACATGTGTTACAAGTACCAGTACCAAAGACACTGGAATATCACACTACCACTTTCAATACAGATGCTATCTCCATCCAAAGGTGAAAGTGCTGATTTGTGTTATATAATGGTGAACTTTCCCATCCTCATTTCAGAGAATGAGGGACTTTGTAGTTGTGCACAAATACTGCTCCTGGATTATATAGAGGAAAAGCGGGGCCATGGCCATATGTCTTCCTCACATCCCCTTTTTATCCTGTTAGGAGAAGCTAGGAGGAGTTATTCCTGTGCTCAGAGGAAACAGGCATGACCTCTATGCCAAATGGCCAGCGAGCTCTCTAAGGTAATTATGCAATTAGGGGAGGACAAAGCATTCCTAAGTGAGTCATGCTTAAGCTTTCCTTGACTCCAGTATAAGACCTACTAAGTTCCTCAGCCAGTTTGCTACTAGCATATCTACCAGCAAAAAACTCATCCTGCACTGCAAATCACAGATACTTTGCGTGCAATGAGTGGCTGTTGCTAATGGGTGCATGAAATAAGAATCAGAGGAAAGAAAATGCACATTCATGAGCTTAGTTCCTGCAGAATGGGATTAGGGCAGCTTTTAAAGTGCACATCAACCTTTTTATACATGGAACAGCCTCTGTAATCAATACTCATGCAAAGAGCAGCATATATGCTATCAAACCTAGGAGCCTGCTACATAGGTAAAGGGCAAAGTGGATTTCAGCACCGTTGATCAACGCAGCCAAGACCCCTTATTAGCTTCTTCCCTAGTCAACTGCAATTCTGGTACTTCCAGTTTTTTCAGAGAAATGCCTTTCCAATCTCTTTACATTCAGCATGTCTCCCTCCTCCTGCTGTCGGAGGGGTGACTTTCAGGCAGACATCACTATACTGTAGAGTCAAAAAAGAATAATTTCTGTATTGATTGAAAGGTACTGTGTTGATTGAGTTACCCACTGGCAGCTTCCAGGATCTCTGCTCTCCAGATCTAAGACTTGCAGATTTGAGGCCAATATTAAAAGTCATTACACTTTACATTTTAGAAGAATGGCACCAGATTGTTTCGTAATATTCATTCCCCCTTGCAAGCCCCAAGATACTACAAAAATATGTCAGGCTGAGATAAAGTGTCCTGAAATTATGACTGCGTCCCTGGAAGGAATGTAACTGGAGGAGGAGCCTTTGTGCACCAAAATTTGTTTTGTGACAAGAGGATCTGTGTGAGTTCAGGTTTTATCCCAACAGAAGCAGATTTTATTATACTGAAGTGAGGTCTGTATGCCCTGAGGCTGGATGATCTGGGTTGGATTTCTGTCAGCGCTGGTTGAGCAGCTCCTCTGCTCAGTTATATACAAATGATGTCAAGAATGTCTTCTTAGTGATGCAGGATAAACAACCTTAACTGTTTTGCATATTTATCTCACTCTACCATAAACTTCCCCAGAAGACAAAAATAAAAATCTGGCTCCTTTTTCATAGTAAATCTTGGCATAACTGGGATCTCTTGCAGTAATTTGGACTCAAAAACCTATGAAATTAAAGTTTTAAAATGTACTAAAACTAGTCAAAGAAAATCCCACAGATCAGTAGTCTTGGAAAAGAGTGC